CAAAAGTAGTAAAGATAATAATGCCACATAGGACCTAAAGAGAATATCCAAAAATGGCAAATACTAAATTACCCTCTAATACCATCCCGTAATTTAGTAACTATAAAAAATTAACAACACCAATTTCATCTCTCAAGCGAAGAAATTGGTCTGTTTTTATTGCCTTCGTCAGAACATCTGCCAGCTGCTTCTAAGTGCTCCAGTGAAGAACTTCTAACACTCCTTTCTGCACTTGACTTCTCAGAAAATGATACTTCGTCTCAATATTCTTGCTTCTTCCATGCAACACTGGATTCTTGGCAAGATTGATTGCAGACTTGTTATCAATCAACAACTTCAGAGGTTTCTCTATCTCAATCTTCAAATCCTCCAGAAGATTCAGAAGCCAAACAGCTTGACATGCAGCTACAACACCTGCAATGTATTCAGCTTCACATGTTGACAGAGCCACAACAGACTATTTCTTGGAACTCCAAGAAATTGGACCTCCCAGAAACTTGAACAAGTAACCAGAAGTACTTCTTCTGTCAACTTTGTCTCCACACCAGTCAAAATCAGAATAACTCACTAATTCCAGTTCTGTCTGTCTTCCAGAAGGAAATAGCACTCCGTATTTCAGAGTTCCTTTGATATACCTCAGAATTCTGACAGTAGCTTAATAATGAGACCACTTTGGTTTGCTCATGAATCTGCTAACCATTCCAACTGCATAACAAATGTCAGGTATGGTATTGCACAAGTACCTAAGAGAACCAACCAACTGCTTGAAGGTTGTAGCATCCACAAAATCACCATCAGAATCAGAATCCAATTTATGATTGGTTTCTGATGGTGCCACAGCAAATTTGCAATTCTGCAGCTTAAATCTCTTCAGAAGTTCAAGTTCATACTTCAACTGATGTAGAATGATACCCTTATTTGAGTACAAAATCTCCATTCCTATACAATATACCATATTTCCCAGATCTATCATCTCAAATTCATTCATCAGAACTTCTTTGAACTTGACTATATCTTCTGGACAACTTTCTGTTAGCAATATGTCATCAACATATAGACACACCATAATCATATTGCCACCAGAATGCTGCACATATACGGCATATTCTATCTCAAATTTATGAAACTTCTGCCTATTGAAAAACGAATCAATTTTCAGATTCCAAGCTCTGGGTGCTTGTTTCAGTCCATACAAGGCTTTATGTAACTTGTATACCATCCCTTCCTGATTCTTTTTCACAAATCCAGAAGGTTGTGACACATATACCTCTTCTTGTAACGGACCATTCAGAAATGCAGACTTCACATCCAGATATATCAAAGGCCAATTTTTGTTTGCAGCTGAAGCAATCACCAATATGATTGTTTCGTGTCTAGCTACAGGCGCAAACACCTCAAAGTAATCTAGCCCTGGTTTCTGAAGGAAACCTATAGCCACTAGTCTTGCTTTGTGTTTTCCAATTGATCCATCTGGCTTAAGCTTCACCTTGAAAACCCATCTGACGCTGATGGCTTTCTTCTTTTCTGGAAGCTTCGTCAGCTTCCAAGTTTTGTTTCTTTCAATAGCCTCAAGTTCTTCTTTCATGGAATTCAGCCATACTTTCTTCTTGAGAGCTTCTTCAGTACCCATTGGTTCAGAATCTACTAACATGGCACACTGAATGATTTCTCCATCAGAATCTACTTCAGTATCATGCAACATGCTAAAATCTGCAAACCTACTTGATATTCGTCTGATTCTCTGTGGCCTCTGAACTTGTTCTGAAGCTTCTCCAGAACTCGGAACAATGCTAGCTTCTGGACCTTGTCCAAAACTACTTCCTTCAGAATTACCACCTTCAGAGTTACTTCTGGAAGCTTGTCCTCCAGACCCTATGTCTTTAGAGTTTTCCCTTCCAAAAATATAATCACCACCATATTTTGGATCATCATCAGAATCTGGATCAAAATCAGATCCACTATCAAAATCTTCCTGAGATTCGGACTCATCTTCAGAGTCTTCAGATTCATCTACTCTGAATCGTCTTTAGAACTTTCTGAATAATCTTCAGAAACTAACTCTGGTGTTGGCGCTACACCAGAATCTGATTGAAGCTTGTTCCAATCCCATGTTTCTGACTCTTTCACAATAACGTCTCTTCTGATTTCAACTTTGTTGGTTTCTGGACAATAAAGCTTATAGGCACCTGTACTATGGTACCCCACCAGTAACATTACTTTGCTTCTATCATCCAATTTCCGTCTTCTAGCCTCTGGAACGTGTTTGTAGCATACAGAACCAAACACCCTTAGATGGATAACACTTTGCTTGTCTCCAGTCCACTTTTCTAAAGGAACAATTTCCTCCAGGTTCTTCGTTGGACACCTATTCAAAACATATGCTGACGTGGCAATAACTTCTCCCCATAACATGTGAGGTAACTTCTTCTCTTTCAGCATACTTTTGGTCATATCAAGCAAAGTTATGTTTCTTCTTTCAGCAAGACCATTGTGCTGAGGAGTATATGGAGCAGTATTGTCATGTTCTATTCCATTCTCCTCGCGGAACTTCTGGAACTCTGTAGAGTTATACTCACCTCTACCATTTGTTCTCATAATCTTCAGCTTCTGACCACTCTGCTTCTCAGCCTTCACCTTGAACTTCTGGAACTCAGTAAACACTTCATGCTTGAACTTGATGAGTGTTACCCATGTCATTCTTGTGAACTCATCCACAAAAAACACAAAGTATTTGTTTCCTCCAAGTGAAGATATTGGAAATGGTCCACACACATCATAATGTACTACTCTCAAAGCATGCTTTGCTCTGGGGGCTACTTCTGATGCAAATGGAAATCTGGGTTGCTTGCCTTTCATGCATATCTCACATGACTTCTGAGGCTTTACAATCTTCGAAATGCCATGTACAAGCTTCTTAGAACTTAGACGCCCTAAGCTTCTATAGTTCAAGTGCCCCAACCTCTTGTGCCACAGCTTACTGTCACCTTCAGCGCCTTCTGCACTAAGACACTCTGCTTCAGATGTTTCTACATTCACCTTGAATGTTCTGTTGCTTCCCTGCTCAGACTTCATAATCAACTTCTGATTAGAATCATACAATGTCAAGAGGTTGTCCTTCATAACCACTGAGAAACCTTTCTCAATAAGCTGACCCACACTCATCAAATTGCTTTTAATTCTAGGAACATACCGAACATCTTTGATCAGAATGTTTTTTCCATTCTTCACTCTGACTCTGACATTTCCCATACCTTAGATACTTATCATCAACACATCTGATCTTTGTTCTCCTTCTAGAGTCAAAGTCTATCAGCCATTTTTTATTCCCAGTCAAGTGATTTGAATAACCAGTGTCCATATACCACAAATCTTCTGACTTGTTTCCATCAGAATCAGAAGCCATCAGTAGCACAGGTTCATCATCAGAATCTCCTATGGATATATTTGCTTCTTCTAATTTCCTTCATTTGTTTCTATAATCTCTGACAAAATGGGCAAACTATTTACAACAGTAACATTGAACCTTCTTCTTGTCATACCTTTCCTTTCCCTTCCGATATTTCTTTTCATCAGAAGTTGAGGTTTCTGACTTCTGGAATTTATCACCACGTCTATTCTGCTTCTGGTCCTTCTTGACAAAAGAAGCCTTCAGAGCTTGCTCCACTTCCCTCTCAGAAGTTCTTTCAGTCAGACGCAACTCCTGCGCTTCTAGACTGCTTTGTAACTCTTCTATTCTCATGGTTTCCAGATTTTTAGAATGTTCAATAGAAACAACAATGTAATCAAGCTGAGGAGTAAGTGACCTCAGAATCTTTTCTATAATTACCTGTTCAGAAAGTGTTTCTCCACAAGCTTTCATCTCATTAGTGATCAGAATCATTCTGGAGATGTACTCAGAAACTTTCTCACTGTTCTTCATGTTGAGATTCTCATATTGCTTTCGCAGGGACTGAAGCTTTACCTTCTTTACTAATGCGTCACCACCATAACATCTGACCAGTATATCACATGCCCCCTTCGACGTCATCGAATCAACAATCTTCTCAAACACACTTTCATCCACACATTGATGAATATAGAACAAAGCTTTCTGATCCCTCTTCCTCGTAGCTCTTTCTGCAGATTTTTGTTCTTCAGTAGCATCTGTTGCAACTGGAACATAACCTTCAGTAACAAGATCTAGAACAACCTGAACACCAAACAACACACGCATCTGTATCTTCCATCTGTTCTAGCTTTTGCCGTCAAAAATTAGAAGTTTAGTGTTCAAACTACTACCTCCGCTCATCTTAAACCTTGCACAAATTTTAGATCTCAGATTCTCACTCAGTGTTTCCCAAACTCACAGAATCAGTGTGATTTTGTTCAGATTTTTGTTCAAGATTCAACAGAAATCAGGAACCAAAAATCAAACACACAGCTCACTATCACTCGTGTTTCCCAGAATTTCAGAACAAACCAAGAGCTATAGATACCAATTTGTTGATGCAAGGTGATGAAATTGAGGAAGAAGAGAGAAAAAGATAAATGCTATGAAGTTGGCACAAATGATTGGAAGATAATTGATTGTATTAAATGAAACCTAATACACCTATTTATACACAAAAGTAGTAAAGATAAGAATGCCACATAAACTCTAAAGAGAATATCCAAAAATGACAAATACTAAATTATCCTCTAATATTTATTAACGTATCATTCATGAATATGGATCCTCTCCCGTGTCTTTGGTGCAGTTGCCTCTTCCACTCTTATCTTGACCATTCATCTATATTTTTACCTTTTTTCAAAAACAAAAATTTTCCTTTATTTATTTTTAATAATTCTCAGCCGTAATGGCAGCCAGTGATATTTTTTCTTCACTTGAATTCATGTGTGTTTGTATCCTTGTTGTATGCTATGCGACTATAGCTTAAAAAACTAAAATACCCTATTTAAGTTTTAAAACTACAAGATTACCACTCAACCCTAACAATTACACTTTTCTATTCGACTCTTGTATGTTTTCACTTTCACATCCATTTTCATCATTTTTGAAAACTCAGTTCATCACTATCGATTCAAAACCACCGTCTACCATCACGCACGAAGGTTTGTCGCCACCGTTGCCTTCCTTCTTCACACCGACTACCGCTATTCCACCGAATAATCGTCTCCTCTCTTCCATTCCATTGACATTGTTTTTTTGTCATGTAAGTTTTTTTTCTTTCATTTTTACGAATTTCAATTTTCTAGGGATTGTTAGGGACTTTTTCTTATCATTTAGTTAATTTCAATTTCACTTAGTCAATTTCAATAGGACTTTAGACAAGCTACAGAGACTTATCCTCAATTGAACATTAACCCAATTCCCACTCAACTCATTCTTCCAATTGTATCATTAGCGTTTGTTTAATTTTTCAATTACTAATGTAGTAGGCTTCTCTATCTGGTCGATGCGGATTAAGTTCATTCCCACTCGATTCGTTCCCTTGAAGCAATATCAATATGGATTGTTTTTTCAATTTACTTCATTGACCCCTTTCTGGTTTTTGGAGAACGCGAGAACAACTACAACTACATTATTGATTCCTCTCAAAGTTTTTTTTAATTGATGGATTTGCATTTTTTCCGATTGACAAATGTTGGTAGTGTTAAAAGTGTATGGGCCTATAGTGAAGAATTCGGTCCAATTTCAATTATCATCAATGCCTTTTTCCAAGTATTATCAAATTTTTAGTTTCAGTTTAAAAAAGGGAAAGAATTAAAAAGAAAAAAAGAATTAATACGAAACGGTGCAGTTTGGACGTTTTAAGGCTGAGAGGAATATTGTGACGTTCCAAACCTGATTTTCACTGAAACTCCCTCATTCATTCTGAATCTAAACAAATGCAGAAACCCTAGGTTGACAAAAATCGAAATCAAACGGTAAAGGCGCGGTGAGTCAGACCATAAGACTTTGGGGAAATCAGTCTACACACTATTCTTCATGCAACGGTGCAACGAACGAAGTAATACCGAAGTAGCTCCGACGGCTTTCGGAGAAGGAAGATGACGGTGAAAACGATGTGAAATCTAGATAACACTGAAAAACAAAGGTAATATTATGCTTCCACCTTAAATCTTTTTCTTCTCTCCTTCTGCCTTTTCTGATTCCTTTCTTCTTCTTTCACCTTTGCTTCCGTGTTGTTGTTGTTGTTGTTGTCAAGACAGGCAGCTGATGAGTCGACCGAGGAAAATCCTTCAGAACAAAACGACTATGCCCCACGCATGCCCTCATTGTCGGGCATAATGGAACGATCACAAAGAGTTCACAAGGAAAGCGATAATCTGGCGATCATGTTGTCCTCGACCGTAATACGGTGATTATTCACATTTGCTCTTCAACCTTGAACGTCGAGGACGATCCCGACAAAAGTTAACAACTCCTTTTGTTAGGCAACCTTTCCCCGACAATTAAGTTGGCCTTAAGTCATCACTCTTTCGCCTAAGAGAAATAACTTGGGGGCTCTTGTTCTGGATTGGGCCTACACTTGGCCCATCGTTGGGCATTGCCCAATTCAGCGCCTTTGCCATTGCCGAAGCTACCACCATCCTGTCCGTCGAGAATAATGAGTCCATAACCTCCATATTATCCCATAGTAGTTAACCAGGGAGGAGACCACGTGTTGGACTCCACTACTCACGTAACCCTTGCAGTTTTTGTTATTGGGCTTAATTATCTAACCCAATAACGAAGATCTTGGCCCAACATTGGAGACTATAATAATTGCGCTCCACGCACACGCAACACACGCACACACAATATACACGCACGCACATACGCACACACGCGCACACACGCGCACAACACACACGCACACACAACACACAACACAATACACACAACACAATACACACACACGCACACAACACACGCACACGCACACACAACACACGCACGCGCACACACAACACACGCACGCGCACACGCGCACGCACACACACGCACACACGCACACACACGCACATACACACACGCACGCACGCGCGCGCACACACACACACTTAATTTTAACTAAAAAGTAGTTAAATGCACCCTAAGGTGCATGCTGGTAAAATAGACCTTCATATATATATATATATATATATATATATATATATATATATATATATATATATATATATATATATATATATATATATATATATATATATAGGGTTATTTCGAATATGCATATCTGAAAACCTCTTAAATACAAAATATTGGATTACTTCAGATTTGCATATCCGAAAACTCTCTGAAAATAAAATATTTGATTATTTATGATATTCATATCCGAAAACCCCCTAAAAATGAAATATTAGGTTCGTTCGGATATGCATATCCGAACTCTGAGAGTTTTAGAGAAATTTCGCCAAGGACCTCTAAAAAGGTGTAAAAGTGACTAAAGAAAACCCCAAATAGATATTAGATAGTACCAATTTATTTTTGAGGCCTTAGACAAAGGCCTAGCTTGCCTGCCCCTAGGGCCGAGCCTAAACCCTTGCATTTGTCGTTGTAGTCGAGACACACAATATTTTGTTTTTTAACAACAACCTATCATTCACATTATTACATATTTGATTTATGTCATAGAGATTCATCGAAATTCTACGTTGGTTGTCGACTATCTACGCAACCCTTGCTCATAACAAAAGAGTAAAATATTTAAAATAAGTTATTATACAAAAATATTTAAACTAATTTCTCATTTAAATATAATAAATATGTAATTATATAAAAATATTTTAAAAAAAATAGTGTAATAAACGAGTTTATATAAAACAGAAATATTTGGTTGAGATGGTAGGAGTCTCTTCCAAATTGTGGATTCAATCTCATCCCTTAAAATATATGAGCCATAGCTACCATTTACTGGAAATATTATTAATTTGTCTTGCGCATGGAGTTTTATACACACAATTATCACAAGAGAAGATCAAGATTACAAATGAGACAACAAAGGGAAGATTCGAAGAAAATAATGATCCAAGGAATCCAACAACGAAGCAGACTTTTAGCAAAACAAACTTCTCTTTGTTTAGTTTTAATGAGCATCTTCAACGCGGACAACTTGTGAGTATTGGACTTGAGTCCAAGCAATTTCAACTGCAAGGACAAAATTTTAGAAGTGTCTACTGAATATGTGTAATTCTAGTATTCTGATCCACCCAATAAATTTCCATAAGCTTTGCCTAGGCTTTTCATCTTATGACATTTATGAAACTCAACCACTCTCTGTCCTCCAAAAGTTGCAATTTTGTACTCACAATAATCCGATTGATGAGCTTAGCTTAACCAATCCAAAAGAACACCTTAAGATATTGCCAACACTTAGTTGCTTGAAGTGTGTATATAACTTTGAGGAATTACGTAACAGGAATTCAAGAAAGTACACTTCATTAGCAGCTTGCTCATCTTAAAGTTTCCTTCTGATTGACCAAAGGGGATCAAGTGACGACTGAGTACTGACCTCTGTAAGGTTCCTGATAACAAATCCCGATACATGCCAGTATTCCTTCTGCCACCCCGCAAGCAGCCTGACAACAAACTATATTGGATGTTTGTCACAGGTTTGAAATTTTTGGTTGCTGGCTTTAATTTGGGCTATTGGCTTGTCAAAAACCTTCCTTGTGGGTGGGTGACAATCCTCCCATTGGTAACCGACAAGCAAAAGACACCAGGCAACGCCAATGCACTAATTGCAATACTCAGCAGTGAATCATCATCCTGTAAACTAATACACCACTAAGAAATTGAGTTATTAATAAAAGGAGACAAGAATAAATTGTTTCCAAACGATATAAAACAAGAATTTGGAAGCTTTCAGGAATTTCCATTGGAGGAAGCAATGATATGGGTCACAATCATGCTTTGACGGAGAAAAAAAAAACTTATTTCAATACCTACAGATGCAGTGATCAAATGCAAAAAACATGGCAAGCAAAAAAGTCTGATGGAAAAAGATAAGGGTTTATCAGAGTAAAAAGCAAAAACAACTTTTCATTGCTACATTGTTTCTTGTATAAAGCTTTAAAAATAGAAAAGAAAATGCGACATTTTTTTAAATTAAAACTTAAAATGGAAAGGAAAGGAAACTAAAATGATACTAAATTTCTTGAAAATCTAAAAGTATAACTAATCTTCTCACGGAAATCTCAATAAGTTAACAACATAATCTTACATTGAGCATATGTAGTAAAACATATCTCCAGTATTGCTAAAATCCACAAGTTGTATCTCGTGGCTTCCTTCTTGATCTTCATGCTTCTTGATCTTCATGAATAAGGTAAAATGGAAATAAAGGGGAAAAAAGTTAAAGAATAGAATAAAACCTTAATCTGTTTCAATTAAAAACCAATATAAATCTCTCTGTATTTGTATAGATATTCATATCATAAAGAAAATGCAAGCAGATGGGTAAAATAAATTTGATGACATGGCGATGAGGTTGGTTAAGATTTATAATTATAAATCATCTCAACAAAAAGTTAATGTGATGCTCTTTTTAATGACAGTGATTAAACCACACACCAATTGTCCAACCCATACAACAAAATAAAACCATGCTATGAATTGTGTTGATAGGTAAAGAATGGGACACCTATCCAATAATACCTGTCAAATTATCTAAAAAACAGTTTCAGGCAATGAATCCGAAAGAGGTTCATATCCTTCATCTTTCATCAATTTGGTTAACAACCTTAATTCTGACCGTATTTCATCAATATGCGGGTGCATATTGTCTCCAACAACAAACACATGAACCAAACTCTTTAACTCAATCCAGCTACAGCCAGGCTCTTTATTCACCCCTCTGGCTTTCATCATTCTCCGGACACGTTCCACATTTTCCCACTCTCCTAAGGCTGTATATATACTTGATAACAATACATAAGCAGATGACTCCGGTGACCCTAGCTCCATTAGTTTCTCTCCAGCATAAGTACCAATTTCGTAGTTACGATGGTTCTTACAAGCTCCTAATAATATGCGCCACAAACACAAACCGTGATCAACCGTTGCAGATTCAATGAACTCTTTAGCTTCATTGAGCTTACCAGCACGGCTCAAGATGTCAACCATGCAAGCGTAATGCTCTACCGTTGGAGCAATGTTAAACTCATCAAACATCAGCATGAAATAATACCAGCCTTTGTCCACCAGTCCCATATGACTACAAGCAGATAGAAGATTTACAAACGTGACTGGATCAGGCTCTATTCCCTCCAACAACATCTTCTGAAACAGCTCCAAGGCTTTGTTACCATGACCGTTTTGAGAAAGTCCAGATATCATTGCATTCCACGAAATTACATCTCTGGCAGGCATCCTCCAAAAAATAAGGTACCCATCATCTAGGCTTCCACACTTTGAATACATAGCAGAAAGAGCACTTCCAATCGGAACTTCCAACGTGAAACCATATTTAATAATCCGGGCATGCATTTGCTTTCCCTGGTCTAAAGCAGCTAGGCTGGAACAAGCTCTTAGGACACTTGCCGTCGTTAGTTCATTAGGGATAACTCTCTCCATCTGCATTTTCCCATACAGATTGAGACCCCCTTCGTAATCCCCATTTTGCACATACCCCGTTATGATAGAAGTCCAAAGAACAACATCAGGTTGCTGTATACACTCAAAACCCTTACAAGCATCCGTTAAGTTACCACATTTTGCATACATATCCACCAAAGCAGACAAAACATACAACTGCAATCCAAATCCCAGCTTGAAGGCAAAACCATGCATCTGTTTCCCTTCCACAACAGCACAAAGGTCACTACAAGCATTAACCACCCCAACTAAAGTAAACTCAGAAGGCAACACTCCTGAAGAATGCATTCTATTAAAAAGTATCAAAGCTTTATCACAATCCCCACTATGCACATAACCAGTAACCATAGCCGACCAGGTAATAGAATTCTTATCCCCCGAAAATTCAAAAGTCCTAACTGCATCATCAAGCCTATCACACTTAGCATACATCGTCACAAGAGCATTCGCAACCGAGACAATACAAATCAACCCGTTTTTAACCGCAAGCGAATGAACCTGCCTACCAGTCCCCACAAACTCACAACTCGTCATCGCGCTAAGAACACTAGTAACAGCAAACTCATTCTCAACCTCTTCCTCACGTCTCATAAGTTCAAACACCTCAACCGCCTTATCAGCAAGACCAACAGAAGCATACCCAGATATGATAGTAGCCCAAGAAACAGTATTTCTTTCAGGCATTCTATCAAACAGTTTCCGAGCATCAAAAACAAAACCCGTCTTACAATACATATTAAGCAAAGAACTCCCAACATAAACATCGTCCAAGCAAGCTGTTTTCACAGCAACAGAATGAGCTTGTCTGCCAGCAGCTACATCATATAGATTAGAAGCAGCGGAGAAAACTCCGGCGAGAGTGTGTGCATTAGGGGTGACGTTGTTGTTGGTTCGCATCATACGACGAAAGAGGTTTATAGCGAAGGAGTAAGATGAAGGGGAATGGTGTTGGGAGAAAGCGTTGATGAGGGAGTTCCATGAAACGACGTCTTTGTGATTGTCGTCGATGGAATTGAAGAGAGTGAAAGCCTGTGATAAGTGATTGGATTTGGCGTAGAGAATGAAGAGAGTGTTGGCTATGTAAATGGAAGAGAGGGAACCGTTTTTGAGGATGCGTGCGTGGAGTGTACGACCTTTGAGGATGTTTTTGTTGTGAGTACAGTTGATGAGGTCGGTCAAGAGTTGTCGTTGTTGTTGGGAAGGAAATATCGACATGCATGAAGCAATAGCATCAACACAAACAGAATCGATGCATCATCATTCATAATATCAATATGCGTGTGCTCTGCGTTGAAAATACCATAATACCCCTAGTTAAATTATAAAAGTACAAACTTGCCACTCGTGACTCAACCTTAACAATTCAGTTGCACGGTTTTTTCATCATTCAGTTGCGGACTCGTCGGGTAAGTTTTATACTTTCGCGGTTGTTTCTGTTCTGTAAATTTCAAAGGGATTTGTTGTAAGAAATGGGTGAATGTGAGATGAGACAAGAGGTTTGTGTAAATGTATCTAGTTGTTGTTGTGCTCCATGTGTTTGATAAAATGCTTCACTTAAAATCTTCAAGTTACTAAACATTCTGTTTTTGAAAGAGACTCAAAGGTAATATTATGCTTCCACCTTAAATCTTTTTCTTCTCTCCTTCTGCTTTTTCTGATTCCTTTCTTCTTCTTTCACCTTTGCTTCCGTGTTGTTTTTGTTGTTGTCGTCGTCAGGATGGAAATAAGTAATTTATACGTTCTCGTTATTGTAGTGTTTAAAAGTTTGTGACACAATGGCTTATTTGTTGTGTGATGTTGGGTCACTTTTCAAGAAATCATAAAATTTGTGCTTACAATTTATTGCTTTACAGTGAATTAGTGCTGGAGATGCTCTGGGACCTGCTCTAATTGCATCATCAACAATAATTGGAGGATTAGAAAGCACTAATCTGAATTTGCGGATATTGGCAGTGTTTTTTCACTTGATAAGCTTGATGTCTATTAGAAAACCCGCATTCCCTCGACTCCTCCTTAACAACGTCTCTTGCATGAGAAATGCCCAACAAATTCTCTCTTATGTGAATGTCTCTCTTCATGATGGAGGGGCACTTGTCCTAACTGGTGCAAACGGTTCAGGAAAGACAACTTTCATGCGCATGCTAGCTGGGTTTTCTCGTCCTTCTGCAGGTGAAATCCTCTGGAATGGCCATGACATTCAAAAATCTTTGATCTTCCAACAGTATAAGCTTCAGCTTAACTGGGTCTCCCTCAAGAAGGCAATTAACGAAAAGTTCACTGTTCTAGAAAATATTCAGTGGTTTGAACTTCTTGAAGGCAAGCAAGGGAAAGCTATGCTTGCACTTGAGGTGATGGGATTAGGAAGATTGGCTAAGGAAAAACCAAGGATGCTTTCAAGTGGCCAGCAGAGAAGATTGCAACTTGCAAGACTGCTCGCAATTGATCGCCCCATATGGTTGCTAGACGAGCCTTCAGTTGCATTAGATGACGAAGGTGTAAAGTTACTCGAGTACATTATTGCAGAACACAGGAAACAGGGAGGAATCGTGATTGTGGCGACTCATTTACCCATTGAAATAGAAGATTCCATGGTCTTGAAGCTGCCACCAAGGTTTCCAAGGGGGATGACATTTGTAGATATGCTTGACCGCATTGATATTAGTTAATTCTTATCTTTATTTGCATTTTACATCGAGACAGAATTTAGTTCTAAAATAATTTATTGGTAATCTAGGTCATTGGTGACATTTCATTTACAGGATTCTCTATTTAGTTTTCTTTGGAACATAGTCTTTTTGAAGTACTGTCTTACGGGTCATGCTTGTAGAATTGCAGCCTGATGCATATGTGCTTGTATCTTCCATAAAATATTTTTGTATTGTAATCTGCCAAGACTAAGATTAAAATATTTGTATTGTAATCTGCCAAGAATAAGTTACATCAAAAAGCAATCCCACCTTTTGCACTGGGAATTGTGATGGATTTTTTATACTATGCTGCACGCCTACTTTTTGATTGACATTATCTGAGTTCATGTATACTTGGTTGTTTTCACAATTAGAAGCACGTTTCTTAGTTTTCTTATTTCCTCGGAGGTGAAATATGGTAATTAGGTGGTATAGCATTTGATATGCTTAATCATTCTCCTTCTAACAATGTATGCATTTTCAATGATGTCCAAATTATGAACACCCGATCCAATCTGTCAAGAATGAGCCAACAACATTGAGGAAGTGGCTAATTGCAGTCTCTGTACCCAGCCCGGGCTCGCTTCTTAGGTTCCCCGACGCTTCATAGGACGGGCTCGCAGTCCCCTCCCCTCTAATCTAACCTTCCCCTACTCCCATACGAATTTTAGTTATGATCCTTCTTGGCTTCACAATGGCTCCCCTATATAGATAGAATTTAAAATGAGTCTTCTCCCCCTCAACTAATTAATATAAGAAATTTGAAAGGAGTTTTAAAGCTGAGTCTTCTCGCCCTCAACTAATTAATATAAGAAATTCGAAAGGAGTTTTAAAACTATTACGTTGAAAAATAATTTCCACTGCATGTTTAGAAGGATTAGTGTTAAATATAATGAGAACTAAATTCATCCATCGGGATTGGGTTGGTGTTAACAGAAAAGAATGTATTGGAAGGTCAACTCAACCTACTTTGGTCAGTGTAATAGAATAGGAAGGAACTTTCTACTGTCATTAGGAATAGAAGTTGCCTATAGCAACTGTTATCCAGCTACCACCCAACACAGTCATTCCTGCTAGAAGTTTGTTAAGACAATCAAATTCAATTCGCGTTTATTACTATGGAAATGATATACTATGCAGTAAAGATGTGTAGAATACATCAGAAGCAGGCTAGTAGCATTATCAAATAGAATTGGTGGGAGTAACATAATTGGATGATATCAAAATAATAAAATGACATTATCCAAAAATACAAGTCTTGAAAGCAAATTCTGACACATTTCAGCTATTATCTATCTATTTATATAGGATATCGATAATTGTCTTCATAACTGTTGTAGTGCACCATGGGATTGTAACTTGGAAACATTGAGCCATATTGTCCATAAGATGGCCATGGCTGACCTGATCCATGGTATGGTCCCGGATACGGAGGCCTTGATCCCGGATACATCGAAGGCGGCATTGCATATGCTCCATGTTGAGGTTGGTACTCATGCATTGCTGGGTGATAGTTGTTGTGATAACCTGGGAATGGTTGGTACGTGTACTGTGGCGGTGGCCGCGGTGGTCCATGTTGATTACCAAAACCAAACATGTGATTACGTTTGTTGTCATGCATTTTCTTGTTCTTTTGATGTTGATGTGTCCTATGTTTATGACCATGATCAGTTTGAGAATCATCCTCAGTGTCACTGCTCTCATGACAACCAGAAGAAGGATGCTTATGTTTGACATGAGAACCTGCTTTGTTGTTCTTGTGATGTTGAGTTGTCCTTTGTTTATAACCATGATCAGTTTGAGAAACATCATCCTCCGTGTCACTAATCTCATGACAATCACTAGAGTGATGCTTATGTTTGCCATGCATTTTCTTGTTTTTTTGATGTTGAGTTGTCCTTTGTTTATAACCATGATCAGTTTGAGAAACATCCTCAATGTCACTACTCTCGTAACGATCACAAGAATGATGCTTATCTTTGGCATGAGAACCTGCTTTCTTGTTGTTTGGTTCTTTGTCAAAAGACCAAAGTTGTGCCTTTTTCCCCATCTTCTGAAGAAGTTTAACTAGTTTCATAGGATTTACATTACCAACAACTGTTACGTTCCCTTGACTTGGATCAATGGAAATAGATTTGACTTCTAATTAAAAAAAACTACACTTCAATGAAATTAAAATTGTAAAAAAAAAAAACCATAAACAAAATCAGCTACTAAGAAAACAGATTATAGAAAAACACTAAACATACCCTTAAGTTGTTTCAACATGTTGGTGATATCTTCAGAACAGCCCTTTGTGCATCCAAAATTAACTTTCAGAGTAGAAATCTGATTGAATAAAATGCATGAGAAAACAGTGAATAAATAAATATGAAGCTTTGTATGAACAAATAAAAAGTGAAAAAACTTGCTTACAGGAAGATCGTTAGTGTTTTCCATTAGATGAAGTATGATAAACTTTTTGCTTATGGATTATGGAGAATGAGATATCTGTAAAGAGTGAGATTGGCTTAATATAAACATAATTAGAGCTATAATTTTTCTTAATAATAAATTAGAGCCACCGACCTTATTATTATTAATTTATTATTGGGGATATTAAAATGTATATCAAATATTAACTTTCTATTTTTAACTTATGTTGTATATCATATATATCCATAATCTGTGTTTTCTATTTATATAAAATCAATATCTTTTAAGATTAATTCTTCAAAAATTAATTATTTTAAATTTTTTATTTGTATTTTATCTGTATTTGACGACAACCAAATTTTTATGTTGAAATGAGAAGAATTCAATTTTTCTCCATTTATATATCATGTATTGATTCTCTATTTATGAGAATGAATTCCATTTATTAAAACAGATTCTACTAATTTAATATTTGCTTCTCTGATAAAAATCAAATCAGATTCATGGTTTTTTTAAAAATTGAATGTGATTTTTACTTTTCAATAAAAAGATAAAATGAATTTTTTTTATGCGATCATTTCTCCCTAATATTAAAAACAAGTGAAGGGTATGAAAAGCATAAATAAAATTCTGAAGGTAGTAAAACTTGGACATGTGAGAGAATTGACGTAATCCAAAAGAAAAAAAAAGGCCGAGGTAATAGTGTGATGAAAATGTGCAAAGGGTAGAAATGGAAAATAGGAAAGAAACAAAGTTTGTATAAATTTGAACATAGAGAGTGATTGAAGAGTAGATTAGGGTTTCTGCAGCCACACTCCATCTAACAGAATGAGATTCATTTCTCATCGATTGATGCATATGCAGAGTTCCTAATCTCATTCGTCCCCCAAAATAATAATAATAATAATTAATAATAATGGAATTTCTTTTTCTTTTCCACCCTTTCCTTGTTTCACAGATTCTCTTTCTCTCTCTCTTTCATCCTCAAGAGGCAGTGACGATCGTTTTGGAGTGTGGATCTCGATGGATCGATCATCGGCGAAGTATGCTTGCCGGTGGCGTGGCGTTTTCCCAGTTAATTGCAGCCATCCATGGCGGCGCTTCTCTCCGACGATCGATCTCATCTTTATACCAAAACTGAGCCTCAAATTAGATGAAACCCTAACGTAATCTGAATTGATTTATTTCGATTTATCTTAACGTGAAGTTAGGTAGAGTTGTATGGAGTGAAAGATGTGAATTCGTCTTTTGATTTTATTCATTCAATTTTCACTCCTTCATTCCATATATCATCTAACCAACTTAGTGTTAATTACTATTTCTGCTTTCATTTTCCGTAGTAACAGAAATTAGGGTTTTTTAACCACCATGGTTTTATTCTTCTATTAACACTAATTAGAGTCTTTTTTGTTGTATGTATACAGTTTTATTTTTTAATTTAGTTTCTGACTTGGAATTTTAAAATGACATTGATTAACTTGCATTGTTGTTATATGAGTTTTCAGTTTCATTTGATTATTGACTAGGGGTAGTTGCACGAGTGTCCATTGTGATTTTGGTTGAGGTTGAAGTTTCAAGTGTCCATTGTGATTTTGGTTGAGGTTGAAGATTCAAGTGTCCATTGTGATTTTGGTTGAGGTTGAAGATTCAAGTTTTCATGCTGCCGGCAATTTTAACAAGGATATGGCTATTATGAATTTGCTCAATTGCATAATAGTAAATAACTGGATAGTGTATGTTATTTAATGGTGTGTTTGGTTTAGCGGCAGGGAAAGCAAAAGCGCGTACCGAAGCTTAATTTTGTTGCTTCTGGAAATCACGGTGGGAGAGGCAGTAGACGTGCGTGTGGCTGCTCAAACTTGTGTGTTTGGCATGAGACGTCTGGAAATCTTATTCGTCTAGAAAAAATATATAGAAATTCTTGCACATTCTAAACATTCTAAAACCTTGATTGCATTTGGTGATATATCAATTGGTGTTACTCAAATCTAAGTTATAATATTCTAAACACAGGAATTAATTTTTGCCTATTCTGAATAACTGTTGGAAGAACTTGTGCCATATGCATTCTATAGTACATATTGAGATATAACCAAATGTGAAAACATATTCTGAGAAAAATAGACTATCCAAGATGGTTAATGCCAATTTAATGAAATCAATGACCAGCATAAAGCATTGCAACCACCAAATCTGCAACTAGGTGCTATCAAAGTTGACACCGTCTAACTCTTTAGCAACATTTGTTAAGCCTATCAACAAGGACTCACGTACTCACGTGTTTACTGCGTTTGCATACTTAATTTCTTCCGCTGGTATATCGTCTATTTTAACTTGAATGAACAAAACCCTTTTGTAAGATGGGATATCTTGTTCAAAGCTGTGGTAACAGCACCTACAATGTCAAGACCCTTCTTTGATGCAAGGCAAGCAACATGCTGTAGAGCTTAGAGTTTGCACTTAGCATTTTAGCAGGAACTAGTAGCTTCACTGATAATTATAAAATATTTTATTCATTAAAATAAAAAAGATATTGTGGTATTAATAACCTATGAAAATAATGAATTTTAAAAAAGAACATAAAATATTTTAAAACATATGTTACTAATAACTACAAATATTTAATAATAAATATTCAGCAAATCACCGATATATAAATATCACTAATAATAATAAATATTTACAAATATTTTATTGATTAAAATAAAAAAGATATTGTGGTGATAGTGACTCATAAAATAATAATAAATTTTAATTATTAAAAATAAACATAAATTTAATTAATATTTTTAAATAATAATAATAAATTAATAAAATTTATCTTAAAAACAAATATTTTCACTCATATCATATTTATATAAATATAAGCTTAGCCTTATTTATATAATATAAAGTTGAGATATTGAAAAAATAATCTCCCAATTAAAGCAAGAACTCATTTGTTTAGTGACATAGAGATTGTTGAATAAACTTTTGTGGCTTTCTATTAATAAGTTAGTGGGAAGGCTAAACGTCTATTGTAATTGGAATACCAAAAGATAGTAACTTATAATAGTATTTACTAATATCATTTACTTTTCTAGAATAGTAGAAGTCCTTGAGTCTATATAAAGACCAAGATTGTATTCTATTTGATAACAAGTTATAAAAGTATTTGTTTCCTTTCTAACAAATTGGTATCAGAGCTAATGGTAAACATGATGAATCAAATGTCGTTGCCACAATGTTGACTCTCAAATTCGACACTTACTATATTTGGTCTTTTGGACCAAACAATTGGAAAGAACCAAGCCAGGAAGTATGATTCGACACATGAAATAACTTAAGAAAAAAGATCTAAGTTATGATAGGAATCTTCGATCAAGGGCTCATTCGACTGAAGAAAACTTATGTTACTCGACTAAAAAAGAGTATCCTCGCTTTGGCACATGGTACGAGGATTATTTGAATTTTGAATTATTGGAGGGAAAGGCAGTTTTCGCCAGCGTTTAAGAGGAGGCAACGTGGTTGAAAGCCATAGATCGAGAGACATGCAGAAGACAATTGTCTTCATCCTAGCGCAGAATGTTCTCTCGATGGTTACCTATTTTTAGTATAAATTAAGAAGCTTGTGTAATTTTCAAGTGTGTTCAATCTATTGTACTAAATCACTCAAACATTATCCAAGTAACTACTGCGTGAGAAAGGATAAAGTTGAGAAATGTACGTTGGAAACACCTTTTTTCCTTAATGAAAGTCTTTTTACATTACTTTACTATTATTCTGCAAAGTTATCTTTTTTACTTCTTTTACTTGCATTTCTATACCTCTGCTTACTTTTCAACAATCTCAAACATCCTTTCTCTGGGTCGAACGTACGTTCTTCCTTCTTACCCATTTTACATAAAAATTAGCATATGTCCTGGGATTAGTTTGATCGGTCCCGTGAGTAAACCAAAAAACTTACCTTTTTGGAGATCAGCGATTGTTTACCAAAAACAACGGTAAACAAATTGGCACACCTGGTGGGACGTTGCTAATTTTCTATGTTATTGTGTTTTTCCTATACAGTTATAACATTGCATGTTATTAAGAAGTGGTAGAGTAACCAACAAATTTACTGTTAGGAAGGAAAATAGAGAGAGTAGTATGGCTAACGAGCCAAACCATGGAGAAATATCTCCACCAATCACAGGAACAGCGGTTACTACTGTTGTCGAAGGGAATATCCCAACTTCTGTTGGATCAATGCCAGTGTTAACCACGAATCAAACTGGACCCTTACTTTCGTATGTGGGTCCAAGAGGTCCTTTGGGAACACCTCCACCAAGGATAAATCTAGGATCTCGATCAACTGTACCCCCAGGCTTTTCGACAACCTGGATGGGTCGAGAACAGCCATATGGCATGCCAACTACTGAAATGGCTAGCCTTATGAATGTTGCGTCCACCTTTTCAGAACCCTTGGTGAATGCAACATCGCCATTACAAGGGTCTGGAGCCAGTAGAAACCAATTTTTGGGAGGGCCATCTCACATGATACCAAGCCTCACAAATGTTTTGACAGCAATTTTGAGGCAACAGATGGATGAAAGTAATCATGAAATGGTACAAATGTTAGCACAAACTCTAAGTACAGTGCTAAATCCCCTCATTTAGACTGCTACACAGTCGAATCAACAGATGACAGCGCAAATGACGCGCATGGCTGAATTCTTTGGGGTACCCCAAGTTGTTTGACAACCCCAGAGGATACCGATAAGAGTAAATCAAGGGGTAATTATGGAAGAGGATTTGACCGTTAATCCAAACCCCCAGGTTCCTTGGGTAGAAGTAGAACAACCAAGGATAGAGATACCACGAAACCTTCGAGAAATCGATCAAGGTGTTATTATGGCAAATAGAAACCAAAATGCTGACGAATTAATACAGCAAGTTCGATACCAGAACTATGGGACGGAAGATAATTTAACTGCTATGATCGAGAGGATCATGCTTCAAAACGGGATGAATGTTGGTTTTCATAGACCAAACTTTGCATCCCC